TTGAGAAGTGGAACCACTATAAATCGTTGTGCAATTCTCTATCTTTCAATCTCCTTACTCCCTAAACACAAAAACTTTCAACCCCTCTTTGCAAACCGTTCCGATTGTCGATTCGAGCTTCCGTAAATCCCAACAATTGGTATCAAAGCTTAACTCGTTAGAAGGATTAACATCCTTTAGACGATCCTAGAAGATGCTCTACCAATTCCCGACGTAACCTACAAAGAAATTGCTTCAACTTCTGGTGCTTATTACTTTGAAGATTTACCTATTATGGATTCATAACAGGTCAACAAGTCACCCTTCTTCAATGGAGCAAATTATGCTCATTGGAAGAATAAGATGATGTACTTTATTCGAGCTTACGATCTAGGAGCTTGGAACTCAATCATGAGGGGTTACTCCACTCCACCCGGTGAATACGATGATTGGAGTAATGAAGAGAATAAAAAGTTCCAGCTTAATTCTAAGGCTATCCATATTCTATTTTGTGCATTAGGCCCAAATGAATATGAAAGAATCTCATCTTGTTCCAATGCAAAAGAGATTTGAGATAAGCTCCAAGTCACTCATGAATGAACTAACAAAGTGAGGGAATCAAAGAAAAGTCTTCTCAACCATAGCTACGAGAACTTCAAGATGAAACCCGATGAAGACATGTTCTTAGGAGATTTCTTGAGGAGCTTATCGCCAGTCAATGTTCCTAATTTACCAAGGCATCAGAGTACACCTTGAGTCCTGTAGAGGGCTTGTATTATACATAGAACCCAATTGTACTAAGTTGTTACCCTATTTTAAAGTATTTTACTTATTTTGTTTGGAATATTACTTATTTTGTTTGGAATGTATTATGGGAGCTCCCCACTTTGACAACTTATATTTATAATTTTTTATTTATGATTCCACGAAGACCAGTTTTGAATGAATGTTTCAATTTATTTTAAATAAATATTTTTGAATTAGTCACTTTGGTTCCATGTAAGACTTTAGTATGTCTATCTTCGGATCGTATCGGATTAGAGTATTACATTAAATTAATAGATTATGTAAATATAATCAGTTGACAATAAATTTAACTCTAATAAATCACATTAATTTGTGATATATTTTTTCGAAAGATTTTAAATAGCTGCGAATCACCTCATCCAATAGCAGGGATTGAAGAAAGGACAAGAGTTATCGGCTTCCTCAAATCATGGCAGCTGGTCTTTTGTAGCAGACAGCAGCAAATGGAAATCACATTCAAATGGGTCATTCGTACGCCTAATTTTTTTCATTCAATGAGATAAAATCCAATTCTAAATGTTTACCATGTAACTTTATTTTTCCCCTTTTCTTTTTCAAGAGAGGAACCGAAGGGGTGGCACAAGATTTATTCAAGTTTTTTATAAATAAAACTATTATATATATAATATATATATACACTCACACATAAGTTTATAATTTTTTAGTGGCTGTTGCAGTGACAGGTGTGAGTAATATGGAGTTTGCTAGCACATGTAAAAACTTATTGGGCTTTTAAATTTGATTACAAATTATAAATTTAATACTTTTTATAAAAAAATTTAATCTAATTATTTAAAATTATATATTTTATATAATAATTGCAACATATATTAAAATTTGCTAGTAAGTTTTAGTGAGTATACTTACTTTCTTTGGATTTTTTTTTTGTTATTAATATTTTCATTGTTATTTTTTTATGTTTTTAAGTTTTTAAAATTTATCAAAAATTTTAAAATTTTATATCCTTTGACTAATTACAATATCTTAACATGGTCACTAATAGATTATGTGATTTGTCGACTAAATCTACTATTTGATAGTCATATCTATTTATTATGTCAATCACAATGGTGTATCTATACTATATAGTCATGATAAATAAGTGTCCATCCTAAAATTCAAGTTTTATTCTGTAATTATTTATTTTATTAATTGTGTCTACGAGATTTTATTTGTAAGCATTCTTGAATAAAAGATTTGTGTTGTTAATATATTTGTCATAATTTTTTTTTTGAATCCGCCATAAACCAATCTAAAACTAAATTTTATCATCTTAAGTCTAACACAAGTATTGAGTCGGTATATAAATCACCATACCAGACTAACCAAAAAGACTCTCAGGCTCTCTCTATCATCTTCTTTATTGAATCGATTCTCTTTCACATTTACTTGTAATTTTCATCCAAATTTACTTGTAATTTTCATCCAAATTGAAAAGATAAATCACAAAACCTATTCTTTCCATCAACAAACTCATAAAACCTTGGCTGCAAATCATTGTAATTGCTGACAAAAGTAAAATCTACATGTAAGAAATGACGAGGTGGTCAGCAGCAGCATGTGTCGTGGCTCGGCAATAGGGATTCAACTGAACCCCAACCCCATGTGACATTCAACAGTTTTTGTGTTTTAAACTTTAACCCCATTTTAGTTGATTTCATTCTTTATGGTCCCCCACGTGAAATGTGGATTCACCAATGTCAAGTTGGTTATTTCGCTAAAACCAAGGCATTTCTTATACCTTCCCATGCATATAACCCCCTCCTCTCCCAGCTTCACCTGACACATCTCCCTCCTTTTTCTTTCTTCCTTTTTGTTCATAATTTTGTCCAAAAAAAATCACGTATAAATTCGTATCAATGAGAGGATTGGTCTTACTGTCGGTGCTCCTTTGCGCCACCTGCCATTTCACCCTCGCCGTAACTGGTAGTACCGCCAGGAACGGCACGGTGACCGACAGTAAGAATACATACATATATACATGTACGTATCGATATTTCAACAGTAGAGTGCTGAACTCTTAGTTTGAGTGATATGAAGATAAAAGGAAAAGAAATTGTAGTGTTTAAGTCGGAATTTAAATTGCGATTGCAATTGTGTTTTTGATCACGTTACGTTTATGTGTTCAGCTGTTTATGTTTTCTGGTTTAAGCAGTTTGCTCTATATGGTAGCCAGGGCTCCAAAAACCCTTTTTCTTGCATTAATTAGCTGAATTCTAAGGAATATGGGGATTCAATTTTTGGTTTGGTTAGTGTTCTTGGTTGTTACAAGTCATAAATAGGTTTAAATTGGTTGTGTTTTTTTTTATTTAACCAGAACATCTAATAAGACAATTCCCTACTAGGATACTGTGCCTAGTGGATGAATTTAAGGCGTTTGCAGATAATCACCAACCTCAAGCAGAAAATTTTATCATTTTGGACCTTTGGTGGTGAAAAAAAGTGAGTTTGGGACTTTGGGTTTTAGGACTTTTATGCCTTTCTAACATGATAATGGGATTTCAGGACTATTGGAAAATGGTAACTTTGAGAACGCCCCAAATGAGACAAACATGAAAGGCACCGTGGTAATTGGACGCTACGCAATACCGGGGTGGGAGAACGATGGCTTTGTGGAGTACGTAAAGTCCGGGCAAAAGCAAGGGGACATGTCGTGGTGCCCGAAGGAGCCTATGCCGTTCGGCTCGGGAATGAGGCATACATCAAGCAGAAAGTAAAGGTTATCCCGGGGATGTATTACTCCATCACGTTCAGCGCGGCTCGGGCTTGCGCTCAAGAAGAGAAGTTGAACGTTACGGTTGTGCCCGATTCCGCCGTGATGCCAATCCAGACGGTGTACAGCAGCAGCGGTTGGGACAACTACGCATGGGCATTCAAAACGATATCCGATGTTTCGGAGTTGATTATTTACAATCCGGGAGTGGAGGAAGATCCGGCGTGTGGACCACTCATTGATGCTGTTGCAATCAAGGCTCTATATCCTCCTAGACCAACCAATAGTAAGTCCTCTTTTTTTCACCCAGATGGTAATTTTTACAAGAACAATTGGCTTGGCCATTGTTTTCAGACTTATGATTCAGATTTTAGCCAACTGATTGTTGCAGACAATTTCATTTAAGAAACTAGCTACTGCTATACCTAACAAACACCTTGGTCCCCTTTCACGTGGCATCATTCAATGATGTTCTAGTATTACATTGTGTCATGATAGAGTGAATTTGACTGCTGATTATTCGAGTTTTTCAATTTCCGCAGAGAACATCGCGAAAAATGGTGGTTTTGAAGAAGGTCCATATATATTCCCCAACACTCCATGGGGTGTCTTGGTCGCACCCAACATTGAGGATGACCACTCTCCTCTCCCTGCTTGGATAGTTGAATCACTTAAGGCCGTCAAATACATTGACTCAGAACATTACTTTGTGCCTCAAGGGCGAGGAGCAGTGGAGCTAATTGCCGGAAAAGAGAGTGCCATCGCTCAAATAGTCAGGACCATCGTCGGCAAAATGTACAGACTCTCGTTTGCAGTAGGTGATGCTAACAACTCTTGTGCAGGCTCTCTGGTTGTGGTGGCATTCGCTGGGAAAGACACGCTCAAAGTCCCGTACGAGTCAAAGGGTAAAGGCGGATTCAAGCGTGCTGAGCTTAAATTCAAGGCTGTTTCCAACAGAACAAGAATCATGTTCCTTAGCACGTTTTACACCATGAGGAGTTATGACTTCTCTTCCCTCTGTGGTCCAGTCGTCGATGATTTGAAGCTTTTGAGCATCCGGAATCCCCAGAAACCCTGATCATCATCGACCTCCATCATTACAGCCATCAATGATGTAAGATATGCCCCGGAATCTGGATATATTGGACCTTTATCTATTCCAAGAATCTTAATTTTTACTTTTCTGGCATGTTGTGTGAGCTTGTTGTTAGCCTATTAATCGGACAATATAAATATATATATATAATAGTACTAATATGAGGGTGGTATACTACTATGATTTTATTAGTAGTTTATGTATTTTATTATATAATAAATAAATCAGAAAAAATAGTTAACAATTCACTATGTGAATGATTTAACACATAAAAATAGTTAATAAAATTATAAAACAGAAAACAAAATTGTCATCAAATGCTTCAATCAAGCCATGTCAATTTCATAAGTCAAATGTTTTACAATTATATTCTTTTTAATGTTTTACATTTGTATAAATCATGGAAGAGAAACTTTCAACATTAAAATCAAAGTTTTAATGAGTTTAAAGAAGGGGTTAATGTTGAGGGAATATAAGCTCACAATGCACTGCAGCTCAATCTTTTTCCTTGCCCTGAGAATTCAGATCATATCTTTGCTTAAACAATTAGTCGATGGATGCAGCGTTTCTAGCTGAACTACATCATCTATCCAGGATGACATCTATATAATGAAGCACAAACGAAGGCATTACTCGACTTCAAACGTAAACAGAAAAAGAAAAGGAGGATTTGAGGGTGGAACTCGCGCACTAAAAACGAACATTTTATCGATGTAAGCAAGAGGTAGGCATAAAGGGAAAATTAATATCACTAGTTTCTTTCTGAGGGACTTGGATTTCAAAAACTTTATTCATACATCACAATTCTAAAAGCAACTCAGAACTATATGTCAAAAGTCACTTTTATGAGAAGAAATCATTACCATGTCATTGGAAGATTGCAGCTTATGGTATAGATCCCACATGACCCTAAGACAACCTGGGAGATCGATGCGGCCATGCACGAGCGTACTGCAAAATCCATAACAACTTAATTAAGCAAACTGACCAAGCAAAAGGAAGATGGAATTGGATTCCATAAAGTTAAAATCAATACTTACATTGAAGCATCGAATTCCCTGTACGCTTTTTTTCATCACTCTTCGAGATCATTTGAAATATGGAACACTTCAAAAGTAAAAATTTGTTGGCTATTTATGCACAAGAAACTCCGGTAGACGGATTTTCACCCTTGGCTTTTCTATTTACAAGTATATCATAAGTTTTGTCATCAGGTACAATACCTCTATCAAGCATTTCATTATGCAATCTCAAAGCCTCTTCTAGATTTCCTTCTCTAAAGTGTCCAGCAATCAAAGCATTATATATAAGAACATTAGGAGCAATGCCCTCTCTATCCATCTCTTCCAAAATCTTGTTAGCATTCTCAAGCTGTCCTTTATTACAAAGACCGTTCAACAGAACAGTATATGTGACTATATCAGGCACAATACCCTTGGCAAGCATCTCTGAGTACAGCTCGGAAGCAAGGAGTAATTTACTCTCTCTCAAATATCCATCAATTAATGTAGTGTAAATATGTAAATCACAAGGAATACCCTCGTTTATCATTTTCTTGTGCAAGTCAATAGCTGCTTCCATATTATTTACATTCCTAAACCCACTAATCATGCTGCTGTAAACGATTTTATTCGGAGATAACCCAAGTTGTTGGAGTTCGAAAAAAACCTCACATGCTTTGACCATGTCTCGCTTCTTGCAAAACCCATCAATGAGGGCACTGAATGCAGGAACATCCAATTGAAGACCCTTGCTTTTCATCTCATAATGCATTTTCAAAGCAAGATCCATGTTATCAATTTTGCAAAATCCATTCACCAAGGTGGTATATGTGACAACATTAGGAGAAACTTCACTTTCACACATTTCTCTATAAACTCCAAATGCAGAGTCCAGGGCACCCTCTTTAACAAATCCATTAATAATGCTATTGTATGTTAAACATATAGGGGTGAAACCCTTTTGGACAAACATCTTCAACATATCCCTAGCTTCACATGTACGACCAACTATGCTCAAACCATTAATGATTATGTTGAATGTGAAGTCCGAGGGGGCAATCTGCAAACTCATCATTTCATCGAACACATCTAAGGCCCGTTCAGCATCACCGTTTCTGAAATGCCCATCAATTAATAAAGAATATGTGATGGCATTAGGTTTAAAGCGCTGTTCAACCATCTCTGAAAATATAGTATGTGCCATATCCGTGTTCCCTGCTTTACAGTAGGCAAGTATCATGTTATTATAAGAAACACTACTAGGTACAAGACCATTAGCCACCATTCTCTTCCATAAACTGCAAGCTTCTTTCACTTTGCCATCCTTTGAGAAATGGAATAGGAAAATATTGTATGTAAAAACATTGGCAATGCCAGACTCAATAGACTCATCAAACAAACTAGATGCCTCATTCAGTGAGCAAGCTTCTAAGAACCCACGAATCAAGGAATTCACATTAAAAACAGTAGGTCGAATACCCATGATTTTCATTTCTTCATAAAGCTCATATGCCTTTTTAACAAACATATTCCTACAACACCCTTCAATCAAAACCGTATAGGTAACCTTGTTAGGAGCAAGTCCGTCATCCTTAATCTTATTGAACAAATCCAAAGCCTGATCAATATCACCTTGCTTGCAATATCCCTTCATTAAACTAGTTGCCACCACCAAATTCAACGACTTCCCAGAACTCAACATCTCGTCCTTGAGCCTCAATGCCTCTGCCAAATTTCCCTGTTTTACGAAAGCCCCAATGACAGTTGTATATGAACTCTCAGAAGGAACCCATCCCCTACCCTCCATTTCCCTCAATAACTCTCTACACATGTTCAAATCGGGTTTTCGACAAGCAACATGAATAGCAATACTATAAACTGCAGCATCAAGGTCTATCCCTTGAGCCTTTGCCTCCCTAAAAAACTCCACAGCTTCCCAAGGCTTCCCTTCTTTCAAAAAAGCACGCATCATCGCATACATAGTAAAACAATCACCTCTAACTCCAATGGAAACCATCTTATCATACAATTCCCTAGCTTTATCAATCAAACTCCTCCTAACCAATGCTGTTAAAAGTATATTCATATAGGGAATCCAGGGAACTATATCACGCTCAAGCATCCCATTAAAACAATCCACTGCATCATCAAATCTGTTCACTCTAACATAACTGTTTAACAAGTAATTAAAAGCTCGCGAATTCAACTCAAAATCATATCTTTTTGAGATATCAACCAAGTGATCTAAGAAAACAAATGGAGCAGGCCCTGAATGGTATGAACCAAATTTATTGTTAAGCAAATATTGGGCATGTTTATGGGTCTGCGAACAACCTACCAAAATGTGAAGCAGAACACAGACGGCATCAATACTTTCGACAAAACCACGCTTCTTTTTGACGGAACGGAAGTACTTCAAAGCCGATACGGCGTCGTTTTTGTGGGATAGGAGTGTGTTTATCACATGGGTTTGGGTCAAGTTTGTATCTTCCGACGAGGATGATGGTAAATGTGGGTTCTCGGAATCTGAAAAGGGTTGTTTAGTGGTGGAGTGCGAATCTGATGTGATTTTCTCAGGTGAAATGGCGGCCGTCGGATTTGGTGATTGGGGATGAGAGCAGAGATGTTTGGGGCTTGAGAAACAACGGAGAACGAAAGATGGAATGGATGAAGGATATTTTGATGGAGACTTCATCTTGCTCAGCTGACAATCGAACCAGAGCTTGATGTCGAAACCCTGAATTTGAACGATCATCCAATCAAAATAAAAATTGGATTTCAATCGGTTGACATTGAACCCAAATATATATATATATATATATAAACAACGCGTTTTTACCGAAAATCACTACAATATTAAAATATTTCTGAACAGACATTCAATCATCAAATATACCTAAATTAACACCCATTTTAAAAATACCCATCTAATGCGTGTTTGGTGTACCATGTCTTCGCCTATGTGTCAACACCCAATAAAGGTGCATCCGACACGGCGTGCCTCCCCCCCACCCGACCGTCCGACTTGGTTTTTCCGCCACCGTTTCCCACCCTCCCATTCCTGTCCGACTTTCCTACCATTGTTTCCTGCCCTCTCTTCCCTTATATAAATCATTCATTGGCCAATACAAACCACACCCGAAATTATATCATCTTCCCATCTATTAATTTCTAATCAATCAGATATATTGTTATTTTTTATATTTAATAAATTTATTATTATTATATTACATAATTTTGTATTATTTTATTATTTAATTGTAAACTTATTTAATTTATATTTATTATTTACAGTTAAAAGAAATGGAAGGCGAGATGTTGCAATTGGATTTTGATCATATTTCGAGTCATTCTGTTGATACGATCAGAATACAAAACTATATTCTTTTAAAATTTTTGAATATTAGAAAATCGATCATATATTATTTAAATTGTTAGAATTTATTTATTAGAATTTATTTAAATAATTTTTGAAATATTAGTTCAAATTTTAATGGTTATAATTTATTTATTAGGAAACTGATCGAATATTAGAAATTTTTATTCGTAATGACAAGATGAATACACCGAGGCATATCTGGCAGTATTTATCTATGGTTGTATTTGGTTACTTTGCAAAAATTAAATGAGGTTGTAAACTTGAACCACTCTTATTTCTATACTAATTGAGAGGTGGAGCCAACGACACACCATGTAGGGAGTGCACAATTACCCTTGAGGATATTTCAATGTAGTTGGGGCTCCCGGTAGAGGTAACTGCCATTTGTGGTGTGGCGGATGATGATTGGAGAATTTGTTCAAAGAGTGTTTTTAACCTACCCTGACGACTTTCAATGGTGGCCGAATAACGTTATCATGGCTGCAAAGAACTTTTAAAAAGTTGCGCGAAAATTGTTCTAAGGACAAAGCAAAAGCATTTGCCTGAGCATACATATTACAAATTATTAGAGGGATATTGATGCCTGAAAAGTCTCAGAACCAGCTCCATTGTATGTGGTTGCGACATCTCATTGATTTTCAATTAGCCGACACATTAAGTTGGGGCTCTGCAGTGTTGGCATTTTTGTTTAGAGAAATGTGGAGGGCCACGAAATATAGTAAAACTGCTATTGGTGGCTGCCTCATGCTTCTCCAATCGTCGGCATGATATCGAATGACTTTTTTGTGTCCGATTATGAATGAGTCATTTGTTTTTTCGTTACTATCAAGGTAATTTCAATGCTAAATTTATTTTTAAATAATGTTTTTGATTACTATAGAATTATATATATATATATATTACATAGGTGGTCATCAAATAGAAAAGATCATCGTAATATCCCACAAGAATTAGAATATATTCATTACTCATTAACCAAAAAGATGATGTAAGGTACGTTTCTTAATTTTAATTTTTTCATTTAATTGTCTTTATATAATTTGAATCTCATTTAAATTTTGATAAGAAATATATATTTTTGATTTGGTTCAAATGGTTGCCATATTTAAACGACAAAATGAGGGCTTGCATCCCACGTACTTGAGTGGGAAATTGGATGTATGATTGGCAGTTGTGCCTCTTATTTGTTATGCTATTGTTGTGTGGCATCCGACTGGCCATGTGCTTCGTCAGTTTGGTTACACACAATATATTCCTGCAATAAATCTCGACAATATAAATAAAATCGAGAGACGGGGCAAAAAAGATGTTAATTGGTTGGTGAAGCATAGAGATAGATTAGCGATGTGGGAGAACACGCATCAACACTTGCCCCCTCTAAAGTATATGCTAAAAACTGGTATCATGGTTTCAGATGGTTTTATTAAATGGTTCAATGCAAACTGGAAGCCATTCTTACTTTCAGATGGAGCACGAGGGGGGCAATTTATTGTTGTCGAGAAAAACATCCACTATCACAACATCATCATCCCTCCACTAGTGGATCAAGAGCAAGCACATATGGGTCGTCCTCAACTATGCCACCAGAATCATCACAACAGCAACCATCGACACATGTTTACATCCCTAGCCTGCCGGTTCAGATGGCACCACCCTACTTTCATATGTCATATCCACCAATTCAAATGCCTCCACCGCATGGCTACGTACAGAGCCCGCAAGGTTTTATGACACCCCCTGACATATATTATATGGCTATGCCTATGGATCCAACATTTACTTAACAATAAAGACCACACTATGGATAGCAGATATCCATGTATGGTTTTTTATAATTTTCGTAGTTCTCAACGAGTGGTGGGATGGTTAGTCATACTTATCCAGGGTCCTTATTCTACAGAGGTCTTGCATCGTCGTCCATGGCTTATCGAGAAAATGTAGCTGAGAGTGATGATGATGATGACATAACGATGACGATGAAGACGACAATGATGATGATAATGAAGTGGAAGCAACCTCCTAGAAGAAACCCTCATCGAAGTAGACAACCATCACCATGCGGAACACATTCAAGGAGGCATCGATAGATAATGTTGATGATATTTTCATTTATTGTAATATTTTCATTTATTGGTTTTTAGGTTTCCATCAAATGACATGAATTATGTTTTTTACCTCTTATTTGGTTTCTTTATTATGTCTTTATATTAAGTTTTTTTTATTATGTGTAGTGTTTAAGTTTAGGGGCATCTTGTAAAATAAATAAGCTCATGCATGCCTAGAAGACATTCTGACGAGCCATTGGAACCCATAGAACCTGAGATTGAAAGACTCTTTAGAAAAAGGAGACGTATAGAAATCAGGGAATTGGTCAAGATGACAGAAATCAGAATGCCAAGGCATTACAAAATATTGGACCTGGTGATAGGCCTCATGTTATTCGTTATCATTTAAATTCGATACTAGATTATTTGAATCTTGGAATTGTGGCACCCGAAATTCAAGCTACACATTTTGAGCTTAAACCAATCATGTTTAATATGTTGAATTCCATAGGATAATTTAGAGGTATGCCAACTAAAGATGTCAGGCATCATATTCATAATATTTTAGAGGTTTGTGATTCTTTCTGCCAAGAAGGAGTGCACGAGGATGTGCTGAAAGTAAAGTTGTTTCCATATTCTTTGCATGACCGAACAAGGGCTTGGTTAGATGGTGTTCCATCCGGTTCGATGAAATCATGGGCTGATCTTTGCAAGAGCTTCTTATTGTGATATAACCCAATGAACATGAACACTCAGCTAAGGAATGACATAATATCCTTTCGCCAGGGTGACGACGAATCTATGTATGAGTGTTGGGATCATTACAAAATTTTGCTTCGAAAGTGTTCAAATCATGGTTTTCACGATTGGACTCAAGTAGTTATGTTTTATAATAGAGTCAATGCACTCACGATGATGATGCTTGATGCCTCGGTAAATGGGACATTGCTAGATAAATCACCTACTGAGATGTTTGCTATTTTGGATAGATTTTCCAATAATGACTATCAATTTCCTTCCTCAAGGCTTGGGAGTGAGAGGAAAACACCTGGAACATTCAGTTAGATACCAAGGACTCGGTGTCCGCTCAACTCTATACTATCGTAATATGTTGAAAAATTTACAACGCTCCACTGAGGTAAAGGAAGTGAAAGCTGCAAGCATGGCATGTCTGTTATGCCAAAGAAATCATTGTGATAGCAAATGCCTGACCAACCATGAGTCCATCAACTTTGTAGGTAATTTTAATTAAGGCAATAATAATCCTTATTCTAACACTTGTAATACAGGATGGCGTTAGCATCCTAATTTCTTATGGGAAAATCAAGGAGCCCACATTGCTAATCAACCCACTCGGCATCAAAATCACACTGAATCTCAAGGCTGCCAAAATGTTATACCATGGCATAATACCAACAAAGGAGCTTCATCTTCAACGAGCAGTAGTTCATTGGAAGCTACAATTCAATATTTCATATCTTCCACGAAGACAATGTTGCAAGATCATTCTACTTCAATTAAGAATCAATGAGCTTTACATCATAGTCAATGTGCCTTACTTCAAAACCATAGTTCGCCTTTGAGAGCTTTGGAAGGTCAAGTTGGTCAGATTGTTGAGACATTGCAAGAGCGTCAGCAATGACTTTTGCCAAGTGACACTGAAGTCATTAAAACACATGGAAAAGAGCATTGTAACGTGTTAACTCTTAGGAGTGGAACACAAATTAACCAACAATTCAAGGTCGGTGGAACATAACATGATGATTCTACCCCCACTACTGAAGAGGTTGAAGCTGAATTACATGATGATATCATTTCTGAGAATGACAAGAAGGAGGGTTCTACTAGTGAACCTGTCGAGGCACAAAATTCTGATGCCAAGGCAAAAGCGATTCGTACTCCTGCAATTAAGGAAGCTAGACCCCCACCACCTTTTCCGCAAAGATTGAAAAAACATAATGATGAAGTTTAATTCAAGATGTTTGTGGACATTCTTGATCAGCTCTATATTAACTTACCTCTCTTGGAATCTATTGAACAGATGCCACGAAAATAGAATTTTGTTCTTCATGGAGTAAGTTACCACTAAAGCAAAATGATCCGCGCATCTTCATTATTCCTTGTTCTATAAGAGCTAACTTCGTTAGAAAGGCACTATGTGATCTTGGTTCAAGTGTAAACTTAATGTCGAAATCTATATTCTTGAAGCTTGGCATAGGAGATGCGGGACCCACTTCAGTTATTTTACAACTTGCCAACAAATCTCATGTTAAACCTGAAGGAAGAGTCGAGGATGTCATAGTAAGGGTGGATAAATTTTTGTTTCCAGTCGACTTCCTT